TCTTCAGATTCTACAGGGTTTTCCATTTGAAAAATCGAAAGTTGCTGCCCTTTCCGCTTCAAGATTTCAACTTTGTGATATGGTAGTTACAGAAAAAGTTGTCCGCTGCCAAATTTCATAATATATCTGAGAATATTCCTTCCCAATGCTTGCTTGCTATTCGTCCCAAGCTCTCTTCCTAGCCCTTCTTCCTTATCTTGCTATCTAATTCCACGATCAATCAACTGCCATACCAGTGTTTTTCGATTCCCCAATGATGAACTCTCTGCCCATATGTAACGGACTTTATCACTCAAAGAACCACCCTCAAATAAAACAAGCCCCACCATACAGGGTGAATCTTCATGAGTTAACTTGATCTATATAATAGGGAAATAGAAATAGCACAATTTTGAAAATTTCGTAGATTTGGTCAAGGGAATATGGAGAAACAACTAAAATATATTTTCGTTATTGTGAAGCTTCCGGCTTTTCCGGAATGAACATAATCTTTGTTATTATGTTTTTCAATTTCTCTCATGATTCTGATTCAAATTCATGCATCATACCATCAACATGAAATGAACCGCTTTTGGGTTATTCGAGTTTGTCTAGAAAGAGTGACTAATACAGCCTACCAAACATACGCCAATTTTATGTGAATTGCGAATCACTATTGATTTCCAGTGATAAAATCGTGAATATTGAAGGTTGAACAGATCACTCACCATTAGCCCAACTACTGCATAATCCACAGGGTGAGAAAAAAAGTTGGTCCAATTTTTTCTTCTCATAATTCAATAATTCAATTCTATAATGAAAATGAGCCCTAGTTACAATCTACTTCCCTATACCTACCCAAAACTCATGATCTCGAAGATAATCCATAAACATAGGCATATGTCACTTTTTCTAGAAAAACTCGAATAACTCGAAAAGGTTCATTTCATGTGATACATGAATTTGTATCGGAACATGAGGGGAATTTAAAAATGTAGTCTAATTCAGGATGCCTAGTTGAAGATAACGAAGATGACGTCAATTTAGGAAAAACCGGAAGCTTAATAATAACGAGAATATTTTAATGCACTTCAGGGATTTGAAGGTAACCTTTATTCCCTATTTTCGAGGAGAACAGTGATACTTAAAATCCCTGGGGATATAAAAGTCACTTTAAAACCCTAATTGCAAGAAATGTATTTTCGAAATATTTGTTGCAATTGTGACTTTCATCATCGAATATTCGCTCCACAAAGACGATGCTTTAAGCTTTTTTGACATTTCCAAGAAATATGCTAGAAGTACCGCCCCTTCTGTACATTTTTCTACGTTTCATTCTTTGCACCAATTGACAAACTCAGATAACTGTTTCTATTATTGTTCTCCAGATTTTCTTGGTGATAATTTGCCTTCAGCTTCTTGAGCTGTGTTTTCGATTCATTCCATCGCGATCAACGTCTTTCGATCGGTGTTTCGTCATTTCGTGTTTGACTAATATTTATTAATTCATGGTTTACTCAGTTACTTGTCATAACATATCAAGATTTCCAGTTGCCGATGACAATCATGATCGGGATCCCTATAGTTACTGAGATCGTTGATATGGTAAAAATCAGCCCCTTCGAAGATGTTTCAGAAATACCGTTCAGTAGCATCTACATTTTTTCTCGTTATTTTTTCTTCAACGTTTCACCTATCCTGAAGTGCATAAAATTGTACATACACGGAACTGGAGTGTTTTCAAATCCCACAACAAATTATAACCCTCTCGTTGGTCGGGCTTCAAACTTTTCGTCTAGGGATTTTGAATAACACTTCATTCCCTAGGTGTATAATGTACTATTTTCTAATGGTGTGCAGAAAAGTCCACCCTTCTGCAGTTATTTCAGTGTTGAAGAGTCACATCCGATATTTTTTCTCCAATCCGGTAAAAATCTACCGGGAAATATTCTTCGGAAATCTCTGCTATCATCCCTTCACAAGCAATACCAATCAGACGAACTAGACAAGCCCAGTCAGCACATCCATTCGTTGTCAACCTCGAAAGATGTCGAACAGCACTTTATCAAGACTCCTTCATCCATAGAACGACTAGGCTCTGGAATTCATTGCCTGTGGAAGTATTCCCAACAACATATAATCTCCAAAAGTTCAAAAAAAATTCCAATACCTACCTCCTGTCCCTATCCTTCCTAGGAACGCAAGATGTTTTTCGAACATTATAGGGATTCCCTTTCGTGCGCTCCAAGCGATAAAAAAAAGCCACACTTGTAGTGTTTTCTTTGATCTTCCTGATTCCGATGAGAGTTTTTGGAAAATACGAGTCAGAAAGTCAAAGTTTTCACATTAAAAAAAAGAGTTCAAAAAGTCCAGCTCCAGAACTTTTTCTCCATACTTGACCATCTTGTGGAGTGTCAGTAGAGGTGAGTTGCTGGTGAATTCTAGGCGATAATATCGAGACGTTCCTGAAATATCGTTTATCGGAATTCCGCCCCGAATTCATATAATGTCCTGTATTTCTGTTACGAATAGGCAGAATATATATTTTTTCTACAAACGTCAAAAAATGACAAGGTTCGCGCATTGAAAACAAAGTGCGAAGTGACACTTTTTTCAGTTTCCTACGTTACCATGATACCTTGCACCTAACAATGCGCGAAGTAAAACAGTGCGCGAAGTACCTACTTCGCGCATTGTTATGTAAAATATATGAGATATTTATATTTCAACTTCACGGTTCTCAATCGAGCAAATATTCACGAAATCATTTATTTCTGAATGTTCAACAATAACTTTGTTTTATCTCTTGGAGCGCACGAAAGGAAATTCCTATTATGATGGTGGAACATCGTGCGTATCTAGGGAGGATAGGAGAAGGCCTTTTAAGCCAGTTCAAGACTATTTTTTATATCAAGCTAAGCATATTTTTACTTTGAACTATCTTTTTCGGCGTTTGTAGAAAAAATTTTGTTTGCAACTCGAGCGCGAAATACTTTGGTCATCTCGACTATTTTTTTAACTCGGCTACGCCTCGTCAAAAAAATCAGATCTCGATCACCAAAGTAGCATTTCGCGCTCTAGATACAAAAATAACTATTTTCACAATCCGTGCGATTTCAACCCGCAACTCCCTCCTAATTTCGAAACCGTCCATCGATTTTCAAAAACAAGAATTCCATAATATAGTACTCAACGAGCTCTATTCGGAAATATAGACAAATTCGGAATATTCAGATTTTCAAGGCCTACTTTTGTTGATTGAAATGGTCAAAATTTCAAAATCGACTATAAGACAATTTTTTTCGAAACAGTTACCAGTCTATTCGATCCTGGCATATATAAAATACCACCTTACGAAAATTGAGTGCAACATATCATACAGTGTGTTAGTTATTCAAGGGTAAATTTCGATATTTTTGATTTTTCGATTCACCCTGTATCAAAATCTGAGGATTTTATATAACCGGTGAAGTATTCATTCAATGTAGGAACACATCGAAAACTCAGATACGAAGATTCATCGTTGTTACTTCTACAGGAAGAACTCTTTAGGTCAACCAAAAATAGATAAAACCAAAGTTGAGGTTCATCAATCTATAAACTCAAGTGAGTAAACCGTTTCTCATACTCTCCACTACACAGTTCCTACTTAGGAAATTGTCTTTTTAATAAAGAGCTGTCGAATATATCACAAATATGGAATAAAAATTTGAGATGGAAATGGAAATTGTTATGTATAGAAAATATCTTCTCGGATAAGTTAGATTAGATTTAGATTTGAAGGGGCCTTCCGGCTATCTGCCTCCACACCGCGACCTTTTCAGATCTATTGTGTCTGCCCTCAAAATCGATAAGAGTTCTTTGGCTAGCCACGCCTTCTTTATGAGACTTCATAAGCTAGCTTTCAGATACCCTGTGTGACTTTGGGCACTTGCTTTTTCCTCACCCAGCGTACGGAACCTTAGTCTTGACAAACCCTCACAGTGGCAAAGTATGTGTACTGCTGTTTCCTCCTCTTCCTGACGAAACCTGCACATCTGTTCTTCAGTCAGATCTATCGTACTCCTGAGTTTGTTGAGCCTACAATGCCCTGTGAGAAGTCCCACTAGAATTCTAGTTGAACTTCGTTTCTGGCTTAGTAGATATTCTGTGAATGTTTGCGATGGTTTTTTGATGAACTCTTTTGCCTGTCTCATTCTTGGCGAGTTGATTTACCATTATCAGAATTTGGTTTGCATTCATGATTTGATATTCTTTTTTTGTATAGCTTTCGCAATACCACAAGAGGGTTCTGGGCCATTCAGAGGTTTGTTTGCTCCTGCTCGGGCAAGTGTGTCTGTTCTGACTGCCCATTTCATTTAGGGTTTCTGAGCAGTCCCATAGTAGCTTTGAGTTCACGCAATGATGCATTGCAATAATTTCTGCTTGAAACACCGTCGCGTATTCGCCTAAGCTCAGCGAGATTCTCGTCTATTTATATTTCCAGAAAAAAATATATGGATCATGATAAGAAATTTCTCAACTCTTCAATTTCATTTTTACTTTTATTTGACCTTATCTTCCTGTAGAAGTTACAACGATGAAAGTTCGTACCTAAGTGTTCGATGTGTGAATCGAAAAATCGAAAATATCAAAATTTGACATAAAATACTAACACCCTATATGTAATTTCGCGTTGAAATTCCGTATGGAATATTTCAGCTATATATGCCTGAATGAATTAGGCTAGTCTCTGTTTCTAAAAACAAAATGCCTGATGGTCGTTCTTGAAATTTTGACCCCTTCAACAAACAGGAGTAGACCTCAAAAATCTAAATATTCAAAATTTGACCACATTTTTGAATATAACTCGTTGGGTGCTATTTTATGGAATTTTTGTTGAAAGTGCACACAATGTAGGTATATATCAACTCACCCCAACTTTCTCCATTCGATTAGGCTATTACTGGTTAGTCACATGACTCACACTGTATATAGATCGCATCAACTCATGAAGATATACCCTGTATAGCATCGGAAAAATGAGGCTCCTCACGAAAATCATCGACTCCAAAATCGAACAGTCCTCCTATTCGATAAGCAAAGAAACGTACAATCAATCAATCAGCAAAAGTGCTAGTTCGCGGTTCGTCCCGGGCTCCCTTCCTAGCACGCCCTCTTCGTTTTGGCCGCCCGGTATACAGTTCGGGCTGCAAAAGTCGCAAAGCGAGGTGGAGTGCACCAGAGGGTTCAAACCCTCCGACAGAAAGGATCCGAATAAACGAGAGTTCTTGCAGAGTCTGACCCAGAAGGTGTTCAAACTGGGACTGGTAAGTCATACTAAGTAAATTTCACAATGGGAAGTTCCCGAATTTTCTTTTCAAATTGCTTATTTGAATATCTTATATAGATATATAGATGCCACCAGTGGAATTATTTCGATCCACCCCTTCAGCAGGTGATTTGATGAAAAAATACGGATCGGATTCTTGAAGAACTGCGAGAATAAACTACCCCTCTAAAGGAGTGGATCGAGATAATTCTACTGGTGGTATCTGTAAATCTTTATGAGATATTCGAATTGGTGATTTGATGAAAAAATACGAACCAGAAATGCTCGGTCAGCAAGGATTCTCGAAAAACAGCAAGAATGAACTACACCTCTGAAAGAATGAATCGAAATAGTTCCACTAGTCGCATCTATAAATTCATATGAGATATATGTAATTTGATGGTAAAATACGAATCATAAATGCTCTGTCTGCGATTTTTGAAGAATTTTTAAAAAGAATAAACTACCCCTCTGAAAGGGTGGATCGGAATCATTTCACTGGTGGCATCTATATATCTATATAGAATATTCAAATATGCAATTTGAAGAAAAAATTCGAACCAGGAATGCTTGGTCAGCATAATTTTGGTCAGTAAATTATATTTCCCCAGTATCTTTCATATGAATTTTCATAAAATGAGTTCGGAATTCTCCAGTGTCATGTCCGCGCTGTACAAAATGACGACCGATGAAGTCCAAATCGTTTTGATTTTCAAATTAAAGCAATTTCTAATTTTCGGGGCGGCAAACTGTGACGTTTATTCTGAATCCAGTCTGTAAATAGCTGATGGTGAAGAATATAGCTAGCGAATAGCTAACGAAAATCCAACAAGTAAAAAACGTATGAAGAAAGTAGGAGAAGAATTAGTAGGGAAGCCCAAGTGGGGATTTTGGGTTTTACTCAAGCGTGGCAGATTAACATACGGAGGGTATCCTTGGGCCTTGTGAAGTACTCCCACCATACCTGGGCCCTTTAGATTAGATTAAATTAGATTTGGAATGGGGCCTTCGGGCTATCTGCCTCCACACTGCGACCTTTTCAGATCAATTGAGACTGCCATCAAAATCGATTAGAGTTCTTCGGCTAGCCCCGCCTTCTCTATGAGCTCCATAGGCTAGCTTTCAGATCTCCTGTGTATCTCTGGGCTCCTGGTTTTTCCTCACCCAGCGTAAGGGACCTTAGTCTCCACAAGCCCTCACAGTGGCAAAGTATGTGTACTGCTGTTTCTTCCTCTTCTTGACAGAACCTGCACAGCAGTTCTTCATTCAGACCTATCGTACTTATATGTGTTTGTTGAGCCTACAATGCCCTGTGAGAAGTCCCACTAGAATTCTAGTTGAACTTCGTTTCTGGCTTAGTAGATATTCTGTGAATGTTGGCGATGGTTTTTTAATAAACTCTTTTGCCTTTCTCATTCCTGGCGAGTTGTTCCACCATTCTTGACATTTGGTTTGCATCCATGATTTGATACTAGTCTTTTGTATAGCTTTCGCAATACCACAAAAGGGTTCTGGGCCATTAAGAGCTTTGTTTGCTCCTGCTCGGGCAAGTGAGTCTGCCTCTTCATTGCCCTCGTACCCTGTATGTGCTGGTACCCATGCTAGAGTCAATCTGTTCTGACTGCCCAGTGCATTTAGGGTTTCTTAGCAGTCTCATACTAGTTTTGAGTTAACTTGCATAGAGTTGACTGCTTTGATTGCCGCCTGGCTATCTGAATAGATTGCAATGGCTTTGCCTTCAACCTCTTGCCTTATCAATTCTTACCTGGGCCCTTCATATGGTGTCGAAAGTTTAGGGCAGCCGATCAGATTAGTAGAAAACACTCGATCGTCAGATATAGTCGAGCGTGTCAGATTAAGCCATGGTACGTTAATTACATAAAGAAAAGTGTGCATTTAAATAATCTGACAATTTGAGCGGGAACTGCCAAAGGAAGGAACAATCGTTGATATTTCAGAAGGGCATCGTCCATTAAAATATCTATAAAATAGAGCCAGATCGCCAACTTCTCTACGGTGTTGCAGAAAAGTGAGTGAGTTTGTGAGCGAGGCATCACCCACGAGACGAATTGCCCTTTTTTTGACAGAATCCAACAGTTTCAGGGTATGTTTGGGTGCTGCACTCGCAATATGTGAAGAGTTATCTAGGACAGGTCGGATCTGTGCCTTATAGATCATTAGCAGCTGACTGGTAGTGAAATAGTTCCTGGCCCGAAACAGAAAACCAAGTTTTTTAGATGCACTTTTAGCAATTGATCTCACGTGATTTTCCCAAGAAAGGTTATTGCTGATAGTATTACCAAGCATCGAAATAGATGTCTTCAAAGGTATGATAATTCCTGACAAGCTTATGTTGGCACAGTGAGATCGGCTTTTCTAGAGAAAAGGCATGCTTGTGTTTTGTTTGCATTGAAATCTACCAAGTTATTGGACCCCCATTCGAGAATTTCTGCCAAGTCCATATTTATGTGTCAACATTTCTCTCCCGTTCGTTTCTGATTTGCCTGGCTGGTATTGGAGCCCTGGAAGAGAAGGCGGTATGGAGGGTACTATTATCCGCGAAGCTGTGTACTGGACAATGGACATGAAGTTGCTTCCAACAAATCGTTGATATGGAGCAGAAATAGTGTTGGTGCTAGAATTTATCCTTGCGTAACACCAGCATTCATAATAAGAGAGTTAGATGAAACTCCGTCGAGCACAACATGGCGAGACCTGTTTGAGAAAAAACTAGCTAGCAGAGAACATAGCTGGGGAGGCAAGCCATAAGATGAAAGCATGGCGAGGAGTCCGTTTTGCCTGACTCGATCGAATGCCTAGGAGATATCGAGTGCCACGGCTAAGTTTTCAACATACTTATATTCAATAGATTGCTGCTATATATATGTGAGAAGTAAGCGAGCAGGTAACCAGTTGATCTCTGATGACGGAAGCCATATTGCCTATCGTTGATAATACCCGATTGTTCCAAGTATTTCATGAGCTCGATGTTGATTGCTTTCTCCATGATCTTTGGAATAATAGATGTAGTTGCTAGGTAGGGTCTTTTTGCCTTTTTCAGGAACTGGTTGTACTCTTGCAATTTTCCAGTTGGACGGAATATCCCCAATTCGTAAGAGTAGTTGTGAACAACTTGCAGATAACAGGTGTTAGTTCTGGAGCACATTTCTTGAGAACTATCGGTGGGATTCCGTCGGAGCCATGAGCTTAGTTGGTATTGAGATCCAATAAAATCTTCCTTATAGTACGTTGGCGAAAGGTAATCTCGGGCATTAACTGTTTAACTGAAGATAACTATCTAACTGGAGACATGTCGAATATTATTAATTCACCTCAGCAAACGAATTCATCGGAACTTAACGCAATAATTGAAATGGATATATTGTTTTTCGTTGTAATGTCAACGTCAACTCAAACTTAGCAAACTTACCAGATGAAATCTACGGTCGTTCTGGCTGGTGACAGTAAGTCAGTAAATCGACCGCTCTTTCACCAATCGAGTTCTGTAAATAACCTTCTTTCAGGAACCAATCGAACATCTCATATTTACGGAACAAAAAACTACTAACCGAAATAACCAAATTGATTTACGGAACATACCCTCTGTTGATTGCAGGCATCAGGAATGACGAATGAATAAATATCAATACTATTGCAATAGCGATAACGTGTTTCAATGTATGTTTTCTCAGTCCAAGGGTTTTCATGAAGAAATTGGCCCTTCACACAGAATGCGTTCATCATCAGAATTTTTCAGTTCTTTGTGAGTACAGGGTTGGCAAAATTGGACACTTTCAAAGGGAAAGTCCTCTATTTCCAAACCAGATAGACGAAAACTGATGCCGGTGTCTGAAGGTCAATTTTTATGACTAACTCAATGGTGAAAACCGCATATCGATGTCTATCATCGTTTCAGAGTAACAGCATAATTTCTGAAAATGTGCATTTTCATAAACTTGCTGTAACTTTCTTCCTGTTGAAAATTCTTTGTTTCTATGAAAACATTTTCGAAGCACTTTTTCACGTAGAATTCAATGGTATGAGTCATAAGTAATGTCTGTTTTCAAATCATATATCACCCATATAGCACTCGACGTCCTGAGGACGTCCAGGTTAGGCCCAATTTAGGTCTGAACGTCCGGGACCCTTTCAAGACGTATTGAAAACGTCCGTTTCTCGACGCACTGGGTACGTACGATTACGATGAACTGGGTACGTCCAACTCTGTACTTTATCGACTTTCAATAAGGGACGAGATTGAATAAAACTGTATATATAATGATAATTGAAATCATATTGCACATAATTTATTCTACCCTCGATCTCTGATATCTGTTCACTTAGAAACCTTGTAATCATAAACATAATACATTTCTCACAATTCTTTTTTACTGGCCGTACCTGATCACAAAACATCTATTGAGGTATTCTCAGCCATGATCATCTAATTCTATGCAAGTATCGATTTGGATGAGGATCAATCAACATTCGCACATAATGTCTCGTTGTATACTAACATATAATCAAGTCTTCTGTAGAGTAATAGGGAGAGCATCTGCACGGTTATCTGAAGGTCGTGAGAGCGATCCCCGGTGGGAGCACTTTTTTTTTAAGTCAAAATAATATCTTTTTTATCCTATCTAGGCCTCTATTTTACCTATCTGAGTGAAAACAAGGTGGATCTACGTTGATTCAGGTATTAATGGTCCCGTTCAGACCTGAATAGGACCTTTATCGTACGTACTGAGGACCTCTGGTTGTGTAACATCGTATGTCCCCAAAACGTCCTGAAAACGTACGCCGTACCTGAAATGGACGTTCTGGGAACGTTTCCAAAGTTCGAGGTGTACGGCTTGAGGACGTTTTCGAGACGGTTCTGTGCTATCTGGGCAATAGTTATTACCCAAAAAATATTTTTTTCGAATGGAACAACTTGTATATTTCTGCATACTTTGATACACCCCAGAAACACCATTTCCAAAATATAGCACACCTGATGTTTTGCTGAAGTCATCTTTGAAATATAGTGTTTTCAAATTTTCATATGCGACGATAAGAGAGAAGGCGAATGTTCATTGGTAGCAGTCAAATTTTGAGAATGCTGTTCATTGCAGTAATTGAAACTCAATGTTCTACTCAAAACTGAACTATATAATGATAAACAACGAACAAGAAGTGAAGGTGTTCGATATGTCTACCAGCTTCTCCTATGCATAGGCGGCACATTTTCTTTCCAGACAGCACCAGATATTCCATGGATATTCATAGAATATTATTTCTGGATATTGAGAATTTTCATGAACATGCCAGGGATATACATATCTCCTACGGAATATTCCCTGAATGTGCTGGTGGGGAAGAATGTATACATCCCTAGAATATGCACAAGGAATATTCCATATTTATTCCAAATGTACCTATAATATTCTAGAAATATTCAGATAATCGGCATATTCCAGGGATAGTACAGGAATATTGATTAATTAATATTCCTGGAATATTCCACCAAACATATTCATAATTAAAGAAGCTGACCCAAGATGGGCTCGAACTCGTGACTTTCAGATTGTCAGAGCAACGCCTCAACCACTAGGCCAGTAATAGAGTTGAATAATATTGTACATAACAGTTCCTTATTCAAGAGCGTTGTTCAGAATCGGAACATAAACACTTTATGTTTCAAAATCTTCATACATATTAATGAAGTTGAGCCTATATGGGCTCGAAACATGTACGATGATCTGATTGAGTAATTTAATCCCTATCCAAATTGTGAAGATGGCTTTGTGTTCCTGATTCCTGTTAACTATAACCACTCCACTTCAAAATACCATGGATTTCTACCATATTTTTATCATAATGAATGCTTGATACTCGCATCTATAAAATATAATATGGCGATTGGTGTTTATACTATACTATATTTCATTGAAACACATGAGAGTATTAATTATGGAATATTCCATGAATATACAAATCAGAATATTCAGTTGAGAATATTCCAGGAATATTCAAACCTGAATATTTGCGAACAATCCAACTGGAATATTCTTGGAATATATATCTTTGAATATTCCTTCTGTAATATTCTGTGTATATTATTCAAATTCGAAAATTCTTTGGATATTCCAGAGGCACATAGGTACAGGGTGATTTACATAACAACCGACATAGGGCAGGGGCATGTAGGGGGTCCCAAAATATGGCAATTTAACGCAACTTACCTCTATACCAAGTTGCTTCCCTAAGGAGTTATAGGCATAGCACTAGTGATTCACACGAGACCAACGAGACGAGACTTTCATAAAGTCTCGTCTCGTCTCGCAGATGAAATATGAAGTCTTGTCTCGAGTCTCGTCTCGCAGCCTGGAGTCTCGTCTTATCTCGCGTCTCGTACGAGAGTCTCGCAAATGTATCGCAATTTCGTCATGCATAATCTTGTTTCAGTTTAGTAAGGGACATTTACCTTTACCTACCTTTTAGGTATTATGTAGAAGTAGGAAGAGGAAATTACAAAAAAATAACATTATTAATTGAAAAGTAAGTACCTAATAGGTACATACTTACATCATACATCTAAAGAAGGAAAAAAACATAGCATTATATATTCGAAAGTTATAAAAAGAAGTAACACGTATATTCTAAACAAATAAACAAAACAAAAACTTTAATCCAACATTATTTTTCTTATTTAAGAAATAGGTATCTAAGAAAAAACCTTTTATCAGTCTTCACGGTCACAAATGTTTTTGTTTTTCACCCAGTCGTTGAGACATAAAGTTATTCTTCATCTTAGACTATTCAGCACAGAATAACTCATTTGTAGATTTTCAGGTAGTCATCCATTTTGCGATCTGTCGTTATTGCAGAATTGCCTTTATATTCCGCCGCCGTAAGAGAGAGAATAGTCCGTTTTCGTTTCACGCATTACGTCGTTTTACAACAATCATGGAGTGCGAAATGTTTTGTCTATCTGTGTTAATTAGTCTGAATTATTTCTAAATATGTTGTATTATGAATTGAACTCTCAAGTCTGCAGTCGGCACGCAGAAATATTTACCTGCGAGACTCTCGCACGAGACACGAGAAGTCTTGCACGAGACTCGTGACGAGACCAATGAAAGTCTCGTCTCGTCTTGTCCGAGTCTCGTCTCGAGTCTTGTCTCGAAAACGAGACGAGACCATGCGAGACTCTCGAAAACGAGACTCTCGCGGGCACCACTACATAGCACTAACAGCATGTCAACTTGCTCGTTACTTTTAAAAACACACACACACTCAAACAACAATTACTTAATTGAACAACTCACTTGCCTCATTGTCAAGTTTGACGTTTATTTTCATAGCCAACTTTTGAATTTTCTATGATTTTAAATAACACCTAGAGCGCGCGTTTTCAGTTATTCGAGTTTTTGATGAAAATGATGAGGTTTTTCGAAAAATTACTAGAGTAAGAAAAGTTTTTGAATTAAATTGCCCACAGAACAAACTAATGATTTTTGAAATCCATCAAGGGTTAACAAAATTATATTGAATATTAATGGTGCGCCACTCCGTATACCCCCTTTACAAATTTCAATTGAACTCTAGTTACTGTCAAGTAACGTCCTGAATACAAACACAAAGTGTACCAAATTTGGTTGCTTCAAGTTCAAGAATAACGGAGATATTGATTTTTTGCAAAATGTATAACTTCACTATCAAAGCCTATATCTCCTTAGGGAAGCAACTTGGTATGGAGGTAAGTTGCGTTAAATTGCCATATTTTAGGACCCCCTACATGCCCCTGCTCTGTCGGTTCTTATGTGACTCACCCTTTATATATTCTAGAAATATTCGGTGGATATCCGGAATATACTCTCCTCTCAGCATATTTGAAGAATATTCTAGGAATGTCTAGTGCTGCCTGGGTTAACATTACTTGCCGAATTAATCAGCTCAATGGGAGAGAGAGAAGCAAAACTCTGCATGACTGCTGCAGTTTCCGATTCGTGTCTAGAGTTGGTCGGCAATTTGAAAATAATATCTCTCAACTTTCCCCAGAGGTGAGAGTTCATAGGCATTTGGTCCGGTGACCTGGCCGGCCAACGGTTGGGACCTTGGTTGGATATTTTTTTTATCGCTTGGATCGCACGAAAGGGAATCCCTATAATGTTCAAAGAACATCGTGCGTTCCTGGGGAGGATAGGGATAGGAGGTAGGTATTGGAATTTTTCTTAAACTTCTGGAGATTATATGTTGTTGGGAATACTTTCTCAGGCAATGAATTCCAGAGCCTATAGCCGTTCTATGGATGAAGGAGTTTTGATGATGTGCTGTTCGACATCTTTCGAGGTTGACAACGAAAGGATGTGCTGACTGGGCTTGTCTAGTTCGTCTGACTGGTATTGCTAGTGAGGGGATGATAGCAGAGATTTCCGAAGAATATTTCCCGTGAAAGTATCGATAGAAAAGTGAAAGGTCGCCGACCTTTCTACGATGTTCCAATAATGTCAAAATTTGCATTCCAAAGACGATGCCAGTAAAATATCAAGTGTGCTATATTTTTTGAATGGTGATTTCGAGCTCTTCGGAAATATGCTGAAATATACAAGTTGTCCCATTTGAAAATAAATATTTCTGCGTTAATTATTATTGATATATTCTTTGATTGGATAAAAGAATCAATCATACCATTGAATTCCACGTGAAAGAGTGCTCCGACAATGTTTCCATAAAAACAAAGAATTTTTGACAAGAAAAAAGTTACAGCAAGTTATCGAAAATGCACATTTTCGAATAACATGCTGTAACTCAGAAACGATGATAGATATCGATATGCGGCTTTCACCATTGAGTTTGTTATAAAAATTTGACCATCAGACGGCAACATCAGTTTTTGTCTATCTAGTTTGGAAATGGGACTTTCCCTTTGAAAGTGTCCAATTTGGCCCAGTCTGTACAATGCTTGAAACCAAAAACAGTACTCATACTCACTCCCGAAATCGTTTTGACACTATCATTTGTATTTCTACTTTTTTTTTGCAGGACGAAAATGTTCCCCCAAAAGCGATCAACCTGGCAAAAATTTTCACACCAGCAGATGGCGATCAAATTAGACCTACTAAAACCAGTGAGTACATATACGACTCATCTATTCCAATATAATCATGATGGAGAATGGTTTACATATATAGGTATCTATACTAAGTGTACAGTGGCTCAAAGCCAGCTTCATTAGGTTCGGAAGGAAAGAAAAATTTGAAAAGCTGAAGCATCAATTTTAAATTCCCATTGTTGGCAGAGTGGCGTAAAAATTGGGCATATTGAGAATGTATGAAGAGTGGGCATTAAGGTGGGCATGGTGAGAATTGGGCATCGTGGGAATTGGGATTCGTGTGAATCTATGAAAAGTGAGCGTGGTGGGAATCTTGTCGTTTCTGAATTCTTCTCTTGAAGTGGCAACGTTGCGCTCTTCGGCAATCTTCGTATCTTCGTAATCGATCGTCGACATGGAGGTGGGCATGGTGGGAATTGGGCATCGTGAGAATTGTGCATCGTGGAAATTGGCCATCACGCTACGCACTTGAAAAATATGCATATAAGAAAGTTTGAGCAATTTTTAATGTATTCCCACACTGAATGAAATTTTTAAATGACTCCATTTTCAATATATTGGGCATGGTAGGTTCAGTTCTTGTGCTGAAACGCATCATTTCATCACATGGCCTTTGGTGAATAATCAAGAAATATCATGAGTCTCCTCAGGCTAATTTCGGGACATCCTGTATACAGGATGTACCTGAGAGGTCTGTACAAAATCTCAACATATATTATTGGGCTTCAAATAGCCGGTTTGAAGTAACTTACCTCAGTTTGAAATCGCTCCGTTTCCGAGATACAGGATGGTAAAGTTGAGAAATACCTACAGATCGACTTTCTCAGAATTTATGAAAATTTTTGAACTGTATTACTTCGAAAATGGGATATCAATTTTCGAAGATGTTCTCTGGGTTGTGAAACACCAGTACGGACACCTTTTTACTGTGACCATGGAAGGGCGCTTGCCAAAGGACTTCTTATGGTTAAGAATAGCCATAACTTTTTTCTCAGTGTAGTTTCTCACTTTATCTGATGAAGAAGTGATTTTCTGAACATTTTCAAACAAAAAAGATACCTACTCTTCTGAAAATCAAGTGAGCCGATCTCGAGATATTTTTATTTTTAGTGTCCGTTGCAGCGCCGGAATATTTAAATTAGTTTGAATAAAAAATGTTTGCTGTTACCTTAGTGAAAGTGATTTGGTCAGTGAATTAGCAGTACAAAGATGGATTCCTTAAAATAATTTCTCAAAGTGTACTTGTCGATTTCTATTTATCATCATTACCACCCTGTATCGCGAACACTGAACAATTTCAGTCTGAAGTAAGTTGCTCCAAATCGGCGAATTATGATCCCAGATATATGTGCCAAAATTATGTACAGACCTTTCGGGGACACCCTGTAGAGAACACTACCCATTTTCCAATTTTTACGTGAAATTGTATCTTGCAGCTACTCTACGATTTTGTGCCGAGTTGAATTTCGTACATACACTCAGAGAAATAGTCGGTGATAATATAATATTTGATAGGGTATAGTATTATATGATGTCGTAGTGGAATCATTTGATGAATGTTGTGACTGGTGCCTATTTTACTAAACGTTAGGAAATTACTACCGACCATTTTTTTCAGTGTACGTTTTGCTAGATTATACCAACTTTTTTTTTCACAGGAAAGATGTTCGCATCATCTGCCTTTTATGAGAAAGGGTTCCATCCAACTGTTGAAGACCAAGTGAAACTGGCGCACAGAATTTCGAGTTCTCTGAGTGATATCAGCAACCAGAGCAGCAAAGGACAGTCAATGTACGTGAATAGGAAGAAACGATCCGTCAAATGGGTTCATGAAGGAGAAGGTAACTACATTAATTTCAATATACAGGGTGTTTCATAATTGAATGTCAATTTTCGAGCAGGCGATTCTTGAGCCCATTTCTAGAAAAAAGTTTCATATGAACATATGACCTAAACGTCCTAACGTTCGAGATACAGGGTGGTGAATTTCTCAAAAACTAATATATAGCCTACTACAATGAGAAGTTATAGTTCCAAAATACCAAATACGAATACAAAGTTCATGAACTTTTGATTGTATTTCTGAAATTTTATCTAAAAAATGAAATCTATTTCTCTGCATTGTGATATTGTCATATTAACGATATTGATAATCATGTAGTAAAAAGATTTCAATTTTTTTAAGCGACAACCGTGCATCAGATTGGAAAAATTGTAATAATCAAATTTGTTTACAAATGATTGGAAATTTCAGGGAAGGAAATGTGGTACACTAACTGATGCCTCTTGATACATAGTACATGTATGCTAAATTTCATTAGAATATCTGATGTGGTATTACAGATATTAATAAAAAACTTTTAATTTTTGAGAACTTTACCACCCTGTATATCAAAAGTTAGGACGTTTAGGTCATACGTTCATATACAACCTTCTTATCAGAATTGGCCCAAGAATCGCCTTCTCAAATATCGACATTCAACTATGAAACAACCTGTATAGTTGGATACCTGGCTGCGAATTTCAACTGTCATCTGAATTGACATATCGAGGGTCCAACTGCAGTACCTCGTAAGTGACACAATGCAAATTTCATACGAGCGACAAAAAAGTATCACATCAATTGAGACAAAGTATTTTCAGTCTACTTTTTGAATGATGTTTTCTGAAAATGTACTCTCCACAAATGTGTCGACATTAAAAGCGAAATCAAAATTTACAAAAATATTACGTTGTTCACGAGGTAATGAATGTCTTTATTTTCCAATTGCTTTCACGAGGCACTGTTTTCCCGTAACGAGAGTATTAGATATGAAAATATGAAATGAGAAATTTCCGTCCGAGAAGGAGTAATCTAGGTTGCATTGTTGTGCAGCTAACAATTTTTTTTCATTCGTAACTACCACTGGCAGAATGACTATCTCGATACGCAGGACATTCCATGTAAAAACTGGAAATAACAATTCGTATAATAATTCAGGAATGATATTTCCATACATGATAATTTTTCCAAGTGATCAAGACAAGAATGGAGCATTAGGAAATCTTATTCCTACCTACAGAAAAGAAATTCAGTTCAGGAACAGGCATTGATGAATAGCGAGTTACGAGTTATTCCTTCAGAATCTCAAGTTAAAGAACGTAGGAGGTGAAGTTTTTTGATATTTTTGCATAAACCATGCGGAAAACTGCAGCCTAACTCACCCAATAGATGTAAGTAGATGTTCTGGAGCACTTTCGATAAAAACGTGTTTTTCATAAAAATTACATTCACGAGGTACTGTGGTTTGACCCTCGATATAAGCGATTATTTTTGAACAAATCTGCGTACGTCACTGGAATCGACGTCATCTGAAATAGATCTGTACCCTTGGTCCGTTGGGCCTCGATTATATAGGTCGCGTGCACGAAGACCGACCCTGGAGGCAAAATATTGAAACACAACCTCATTCTTCTGTGAATTATTGAAACACAACCTCACTTTTTTATTTGGTTACAGAGGAATCAAAAGGTTGAAATAGTTTTTCACAATATTTTGGCATACGAATCGTGTTTCTTGCGTTATTAATTAATTCAAGCATGCCTTCGCATTGTGCTGTTGTACAATGCACAAAAAATGCAGCAAGAGACTAGGGAATATGATTTTTCAGGTAAATAGTAATCTCACATAGTTAGCATTATGAAATGTTGTCATTTCTTATTAAAATTCCTTCTGCCTTCTGCCACTTCTGCAATACAAGCTAATGCTGGTAATAGATTGAAAATGTCTACAACACACACGATCGTCAGCATGTCAGACCAGTACTACCGATTGATTGCATGAATCCAATCTTCTTGCATTATTCTAGAAATTTCAGGTATATTTCTATTAGCTGATCTTATTGCAGAAGGAATTCCGATGAGAAATCAGAGAAATAACCAAATTTCAAAAATGAAAACTATGTGAGTGACTATAGTAGGTACTTACTTTTGAATCATAATGTACCATCCGGATTTCTTCATCTTCCGCTGCAGTTTTTGTGCATTTTACAACAGCACAATGTGATGGCATTAGCGAATTGATGAATAGCGGAAAAATACGATTCATATGTCAAAATGATTGTGGAATAGATATTTACGTAATCAGTTAGGAAACGCGTTGTTTTGTGTAACGATGGGATTTTGCGGGACGAGCGAAGCGAGATCCCGCAACATCACAGAGTTACACAAAATGGCGTTTCCTAACGTGTCACGTACAATATTTTTCCTAATTTTGACGAAACATTTCGCATGAACAAAAATAATGACCAGTTTTACATGAGTTCTGCCGACTCTTGTTATGTGAAATGAATGAATGAAATGAACATTACATCACCAGTTATGTAAAATTTTACTTTACGCAACTGGTTACGTAAAGTAAGACGTTTCAAAACTTCCGTCAGTTTTGAAAAGTGTCACATTACATGTCAAAATTAGAAAAAACTATTTCGATCACTTGTAAACAAATATGTTTTGCCTCCAGGGTCAGTCATCTGACAGTTCTTGCACGCGACCTATACACTAGTGCATACTCATTGCATACTCAAAGTTGAGGCTTTTCGTTGAGCGTTGAGGTTAGGTTATTGCCAAATGCCAAGCAGCTGAAGAAGGTCTACAGTTTGAGCACCTTCAATAGTTCAGTAACATAAACGAGTAGAACTCAGATAGCAGACATCTTTCATCAATTAATATTCCATCATTTATTCCTACAACAACCAATCACGGACAGGGGTCAAACTATTCATATCAATGTTATTTAAAAGAATAGCAGTCTGAAAAAATATTTTCATACAGGGTAATATATTTGAAAAACTGCTGAAATCGACATTGGCCACAGAGTAGAACTGAAAAAATTCTTAAATTATTATTGAAAGATTGATTGCTGAGTTTGCTGATTGGTTCATTGTGTGAGATATAAACATAAAGCAGTGTCGCGGAAGTAAAAAAAGATTCAGTGATTTGGCAGAAGGCCCACCCGTCAACATTGTGCAACATGGAATTAATAGCACTAAAATTATCTTCAGATGATGTTCGAACGCTCGATGCAACAGCTGAGTGTTCGTTACAATTCCAATTATAAAATTCGTTGCGATTATTGACGTAGTTTGATTTTTTTTTCGGAATCTTATGAAGGAAAGGTTAGTTGAATGCGTTGAATCATGTGGCGTCTGTTTTGCTCCCAATATGTAATGTCTTGCATGATTATAGTTATTCTATACGAAAGCGTTTATAGTAGCGCAACAATTCTTTCATTTTATTCTATCGAAATCTTGGCTTTTGACTTTTTCAACCAAAATCTTGAATATTTGTTCATTGTTGATAGACATAACTCTATGATTTTGTGGGTATACTGAGTAGTAGATCAGTATTCATTAGTGAATCAAAATAAGTATAGGGAAATACTCGTACGATACTTACAACATTTCTGAATTTTTTCTTTCATCACCCAGCTCTTGGCTCTCTGGTTTCAGAGTTGATTAATGATAATTAGTTCCGTGCAATTCAAAATACTTCGCATTCGATATTTTTCAGAATTACTAAACTACCACTGAATTGTTAATTACGAGATATATTTGCTCGCTAATTATTTGGCACAAGATTCTTCTCAGATATAGGTACCGTGAGGAATAGTTGTTGTTCAATGTCACACAAAAAACAGTAGCAACGTAGGTACCTATATCACCTAGTGTCACAAAATCTGCGAAGGAATTGTTAAGTGTTTACAATGATCAATTTCTGAAAAGAAGTAGAATCCTGCAAGTATTCAATGAGTCTGAATGACATCAAATGAGGATTTCTTGAATCAAATTGAAGTTCAGCAAACACCAAACAAAATATAGAAAGGTCAAAACCTATTTAGATAGGTAATGAATGGGAGAATTGAGAAATGTTTCGACATTTGGCATACGCAACAGTTCTATTTTTGCATCATCGTAGTCATATGTTAGTCGAAATCTTATGGCATCTCATATCATCAGGCAATATTCCTAGAATATTTTTTCCAAATATGCATTAGATATGTTTTTCGAATATTCCAGGAATATTGAAAAATTAGGTTGTCGGAATGCCGACCTATCCCGAATTGACACGACACGAGTCTGTCGGTCATCGCCTTTTGTTCACTTGCGTCTGCGGAGTCTGCGTCATAAAATGGAATAGTTGTAGGGACTTCGCGTAATCCCGTGTCAGTCATATCAATGTTGTCGGATTGTGCTGATTCTCTTCAACTAGAGAAAGAAAGTACTTCAATAATCTTGAACTCATAAGATAACCCAAAAAGAAGAAAATAGCATTCTCATGAACTCACATGGAAGTGAAAAGAGACTATTCTTTGAAACAACACAATCTAAATCGGCTAGAAAGCAACTTTTACTCTAGAAAATAACTTTGACAATACTTTTTCCCAACAGTAAATGCCTCCACAGTACTTCTTTCAAAGAGGATGTAAAATATCCCTTCTGCATAAAAAAAACACTACATTTTTCAAACTGAGTTTCAAACCATCTAACCTTACTCGGACTAATAATGAACCTTCTTCCTAAAAAGACCGTACTTTTTTCAGGGAGGAAAGAAAATATCCCTCCTGGATAAAAAAGGACACAACTTTTTTCAAACCAACTAACCTTAATCGGCCTAAATTAACCTTCTTCCTGAAAATTATATTTTTTTGGGAATCATTTGAGAAAATAGAATTTAAAAAAAACCGACCGTCGCAGGCATTGAACCCGGTCCGCCGACATAGCATTCAAACGGGCAGTCAACTACGCCACGACTCGTACTAACTTGGGTAGTATGGAGAAAGAATTCGGTCGCTGTGCACTTG